GCTGCTGCTGCTGCTGCTGCAACAACAGCAGGAGGATGCACACAGAGAAGGAGAGTTTCAGAGTAGTGGTAAAGAGTTTTGTCGTTTCTTACATCTACCACGGGCAGGATGGGTAGGCAGGTGATGGAGACTATTCCTTCCTTTCTCCGTTTTGGCCTTTACTGGTTTTACCATTCTTAGGGCAGTCACGTCCTTGTTTGCCCGGCACTCAAGGCGGGCTAGTTTTAACTCTCTTACTTGGACAGTATATGTTATGTCATAAACGCAAAAATACAAAAGCAAAACTCCAAATAAGAAAGAAAATGTTTTTATTGAATGAGTTGCAGGGTAATGTCCTTTTTGTTGGATGAGGACGGTTTTGTTAAACGGAAGAAAATTTTGGTGGTTTTATTTTTTGGAGGTGTGAGAAACTTGTGGAGGAGTGTGGACAGATGTCAGAATGGTGGATGGAGACCGAAGTATCTTTTTTTCATACGAACAAATAAAAAAAAAAAAGAAGAAGAAGAAGAAATGAATGACTCATTCATAGTTAATTTGAGGGCTTTTAATCGAGAAGTAAAGCATGGAGATGGACGTGACTTTTTGCTGTAATGTTTCATCTCTCAATACGAGAAACTGCTCTGAGCTTCCATTGACTCGTGCACATATATATCTTAATTCTCAAATCAAAGAGAAATCGACCCCTTTCTCTAATTCTCTTGTTTCATTGACTAGTGCGTCTATCGAAAAGTCTAAAACAAAAACAAGAAGACTCTATTGTTGCTAAAAAAATGTTAGTAGTTATAATACCACTTAAAATTATAAACTTATAATATAATGCATTGATCATAATATAATTTATATTTTTTATTTAAGATTCACTCGTAGTATTATATATATTCAATTATTTAATATCATATTATATTTATTTAATATAATATTATAGTTATAAATTTACGATAATACATGACATTATAATCGTAGTATCCTCCATTGTTGCTTAGCATCTAAAACAAACAGGGTTTTAGATTCCGCATGATAAACAAATGGAGCCTTCCCCCCTAGTGATCTGGAACATTCTCTGTTTTCCTTTTTCTTCCTTTATGGGCTGAGTTTGGGACTTTATTTATCTTTCGATGGAATTGGATCGGTCTAACTTTGAATTTATTAAGTTTGCCTAGCCTAATGGCCCAAGTCCAACTTATAATTTTTTTGGTTTAAAGTCCAACTTATAATGTGGTTTTGGATGGCTTGGCTGAAGCCCATTTTTGTTTATGGCCCAAAACTAAACTGATTGTCTCTTCCTTATCCTTCTTTCTCTCTCCTCAATTCTCGCTTGGCATCGATGGCTGGAGCTACTGCCATTGCTACACTCTGCAACTTCACCGGAAATCCTTGCAAAGCCATACGTTTCCCCGTCCGCAGTCACTCCCTTTACTTTCCCAAGCTTAATTTTGCTTCCCTTTCCAAATTCTCCGGCGTCGGATGGAAAGCTGTGAGACTTAACAAGCCAGGCAGTGGCTTCTCTTGTAATTGTTTCTCCACCATCTCCACCAACACTACCCATTACGAGGTTACTTTCTTTCCTTGAAACTATCTATATCTCTGTTGGGTTCACAGAAAAGTAGAAAAAATTTTAAATTTCCTCTGTATATTGTGGGGGCATCTTGTCTCTGGGTTTTTTTGGCATGTAGATTAAGATAGATTGTTTGGACGTAATGAAATCTTTGGAGTTTAATATCACATGAAATTATAAGATTTGGTATGTAGTATGTTGTCTAGTGGAGGTTCAGTAGTATCCTATCCTTGTCATTAGTTATAGGCTAAATTGGATTTCCTTCTGATAATTGAAACTGCTATGTCATTCAGTTATTTTAGGGAAAAATGCAGTTAATATGCAATGTAGTCTAAGAATTTGATAAATACTTGATTTTTGTGGTTTTTAATGTCATTTGATACTAACACCTGAAACATAATGCAGTTTTACGATGGGTCTTCTGAGGTGGAATTAAGACTACAACTTGGGGTCCAAGATGTTCAAGTCTCCAAAGATATATTTGTTGATGCAGATGGCACTTCTTTGAGTGTTAGAATAAAGCAGTCTGGTTCTTTTGTCACGCTTATAGAAACTAATAGTCTCTTTGACAAAATTATGCCTGCTGAAACAATATGGTACGTGGATTTGGGTTTAAATGAAATGCACTGGTATGTAGATCTTTTATGTACTTAGATTGAGTGTCTGTCTTGAGCAGGTATATAGACGAAGATCAACTTGTTATTAACTTGAAGAAGCAGGATCCTGATTTGAAATGGCCTGATATTGTGGAGTCTTGGGAATCCTTGGCAGCAGGTTCTATGCAACTCCTAAAAGGAGCATCAATCTACATTGTTGGAGATTCCACTGAAATTAATCAAAAAGTGGCTCATGAACTTGCAGTTGGCCTCGGGTATTTTTATATCTTCCTTCAAGATCTTGAGAATTGAGCGTCACCTATCTGAAACTTTGTTTCTTTCTTTTTCTGTTGTTTATCCTAATTACTACTAAAAGACAGTGGAGCTTGGGTTAGTTTGTTCCTCAAATTAAGTTCACACCCTTGGATAGTTGGATGTTGTGAGATTGATCCATGTTAAGTGATTAAAAGATAGCTATTGTGGCTTAGCTAGATTATTGCTGCATTTGCTTTTCTTACTTACAACTAAGATAGTATTAACCATTTATTAAACAAGGAAGAAGAAGAAGAAGAAGAAGAGAAAAGATAGTATTAAACATCTTTTGATCTCATGTATGTTCTTGCCTCAGTGGTTGATTTATTTTACAGGTATACACCTCTTGATACAGAAGAGTTGCTGGAATCTTTTGCCAAGCAAACCATTGATGCCTGTAAGTGCATGTTTGTTAGGGTGTTCTTTCTAGCTTTATTTTGTCTGGGAATTAATATACAGATGAGAATGAAAAACTCATTGCTTTATCGTTTTACTTAAGTCAACTCTTTTATTTCTTCTTAATGGCTCAATGCTACCTTGACAGCGCTTCTTGCTATATTAACCTTCTTTCTACATCTCATTTATCACACACTTCTAGTTACTCTGTAATCCATGGACAATTGTCTTCGTCATTGCTGTTACAAGATGTTTTTCTCCCATCTAAGAATTAAAATTCTGTTGCTGAAAGTAAAGTGGGCTTACTATACGTCCATATCTTGTAGATATATTAATTAAACTTTAAGAGGCAAGATCCTGCCAAATATAACTTGTATCTTGCAGTTACTTAAATAGTAATCAATTTCAGGGGTGCTTGCTGAAGGCTCTGACTCTCTGGCTGAAGCAGAAAGTGCTGTATTAGAAAGCTTAAGTAGGTGAGAGTCGTGAGATATGTGGCATTTTTCCTCATAAATTTCTTCTCATTAAACACATATAAAAGCATCATCTTTTTTACTTTGATGGCATGGCAGTCATGTCCGGGCTGTCGTTGCAACATTAGGGGGGCAATATGGAGCTGCTGCAAGGCCAAATAACTGGAGGCATCTCTATTCGGGTTTTACTGTGTGGTTGTCACAGACTGAAGCTTTAGGTATTTTGTCTCCAGTCTTCTATTCATATCTTTATCATAACTAGGTAACGTTAAACTGGCAAGACATTGTTTGACCCATGTAGCAGTTGCATGAATGCATACCACAAATACCATTTTACAATTGCTTTGTTGCATGAGAACCATCAATATATGCCACTAAAATACATTTCTATCTAAACCTATAATGCCTGGCATGAATTTGTGTCTTATGTCAATGCAACTTCTTTGCGTTATATCACCTAAGTTACTGTTGTCAGTTTAAATTACTTTCATCCATCATCAGACTCAAAAAATGATTCTGAAACTGCATGGATATTCCAACATCTAGATAAAGTGCCGAGAAACTTAGATATCAAGTTGAAGCCTCTATAAGCAGTTTGGGTTCCTCGTAGCTTAGTTTTGGGGCCTATATAATATCCTAGACACAACTAATCTTCAGTCAAATAATTTACTGTGGACAAAAATTTATTATTCTTTTCAATTCTGACTTTCTGAGTGCAGATGAGGACTCCGCAAAGGAGGAAGCAAGAGGGCACTTTCAAGATAGTAGCCTAGGCTATTCAAATGCCGAGGTTGTTGTTAAGCTCCAGGGTTGGGATGCTGACCATGCCAAAAGTGTTGCTCAGGCATCTTTGAGTGCCCTCAAACGGCTAATTTTGTCAGACAAGAACCTTCCAGGTATTTTATCCATCATTAAGAGCCCATTTCCTTTTTCTGCATAGATGCACATAGGAGAGCTTTGTAAGATCATAAAAGTGTATGTTCTATTGCACTATAATCTGGAGAGATGAAAACCTCTATTTATATGGTAAACAGAGTGACTGGCTCACAAAATAAATTCCTCTGAATTGGGACAAAAGGGGGAAAAAAAGGAACCTTACATCTAATTTTCTTGATAATTCTCATTTCATTCAACAAATGGATGCTTTCTTATGCATGTTCTTAGCAAAACACACAATGGAATCATTAGCAATAACTGTTCATCCTCTGCCTTGACAATATTGTAAAGATCTTCCTCTTACTGTTGTTTCTCGTTTGTTTCTGAAGGTAAGAAGAGCCTCTACATAAGGTTAGGTTGTCGTGGTGATTGGCCGGATATCAAGCCTCCAGGGTATGATCCATCAACTGCTACTGATACTCCTCCAGATGTATTCTAGAACATATCATACAGTGATAGTTGTAAATGAAGTTGAGAAAAGAAACGAGAGATCTTCTGCATTTCCTGAAAGGAATGATCTTCACCTTTGATATTACTCAAGCCCTCAGCTCTGAAATTGATAACACTTTATCTGTGGAAACAAATTTGTGCTGGACGAGCAATATCATGTCATGTTGCAATTAAAAAGCAAATAGTACTTAATACAGAAGATTAGAACCCAACCCACCTATCTCCCATATCTAAAATAAAGTAGTAAAACAATTTTGCTTCCGCGCTTACAGATCAATATTAACATAGCCAATTAATTAGCCATCCCAATAAAGGGGCAAAGGAATATATAATATAGATCATAGAATACAGCAGATAAATTAGGCACCAGATACCTGAAATACCACCGTACAAACTCAATATTGAAAGCATCCAGGCAATTAAACAAGTTCTAGAAACTACGATGTTTTTGTTTAATAAACCTACAAGTCTTAAACAAATAAACACAAAAATAAAATCCACGCAGTTACACCATAGCAGTTCTACCATCATAGCAAAATGCAGAGTATGATAATATTCACATTTCACAGACATCATGTCGACTTATGGGTAGCATCGGTCTGCAGGAGATGCAATGACTAGAAGCTTAAGCAGAGAAATGGAAATTTAAAGCCCACCACCAGAACCTCCAACGTTCTGTTTTGCTTCAACCTCCAATTCACGCTTTGGTGGAATCTGCAAATAAGCAGAAAAGCCCTGTTAATAACTCTGTTCAAATCCAATGAAAATGGTCTTTATTTCTTTTTCTAAAAACAAGAATGAACAATAATCAATGAACCTCGTACATTAACAAGCGGAGGTCAAGATAATTTTATCTTGTACAATGTCATAAAAAGTTAAGCCAGCATTTTGAATAGGCCAATCCTTAGGAACAATGATTGATGAACCCCCCATAATCACAAAAAAGTATACAAATAGTTGATGGGGCCAATATCATGAAAAACTTAAAGAAAAAAAAGAAGGAAAGATCAAGCAAAAGCTCCCCAACCAATTGAATACAACATATATATCAACCTTGCATTGAAGAGCAGTTATTGTTGTCCTCAACAAACTATCTCCAACCATTAACCTCAACTTCTTGACAAAATCATCCCGACTGATCTTCTTTGCCTGATAAATTATCGGAAAAGATCAGCAGATGCCAGAAAAATCTTGATCAAAGAGAAAAAGTAAAAAAGAAATATGTTTCTCAACATACCCTGAATAGCTCATAGTGATGAGAAACTACTTCCATATCCTTGGGTGGAACTTTATCTGTAATTGCAGAAAACAACACAGGGAAAGGCAACCAAGGAGATTTAGGAGTCCTTAAAGTGCTTGATCCCACACTAGGAACATTTTCCTGGGAACCCCCTGAATTATTAACTCGAGGGCTAACACTCCCCTAAATGCAAAAAAGGAATGTTAGCAGTTGGAAAGTAAAACCCAAGGAATGTTGTTAAATCTACGACACAGAACCCAACCTGAGCTCAAAGGTTGACAGGAAACAAGGAATTATGTGATAATGCAATTACTCAAGAAGATTCAGCAGATCTCTTTGAATTCTAGACTTGCTACAGTCTGATATTATTCCTTTGCTATCATCAACATGACAATGCTGCTCATTTTTCTTCCATTTACAGGATGCAACTCAAATTCAACAAAATCACAATAGGAATGCAAATTTTCACACATCCAGCCTTCAAATTCTGAGGTTCAAGGTTTTCTAATATAATATTCCGTTAAATAATATTATTTCATTAACATTTTTAACAACTTACAAAACTGAGTGAACAAACCACAGATCTATTTGGAACACTCACCAAATCAACTGCAGATGACTCTAACTTCAAATGAGCCTGAGGCCCATGGAAAGACTTAATTACCCCTGAAACAGCATTAATCTCATTTGCAACCAAATGCCCTGTGGAAGCAAGAAAAAATCAATAGGGCTTAAGAATTGAAATAAGAAAGATACAAGAAAACAATTTATGATATCCATACAGCATTTGCAGAGGACACAGCCAACAAAGTCATTGACCCAGTTGTTGGAGTGATGATTGACCTCTTGGATTTAAAAAACCAAGAGGTGATATCAAGACATAATGCAGATGCCTTGATCCTTATAATTAACAACTTTAAACTTTTGCCACCAAGGGGAGGTTGGACCATGAGTTCTTTTTGTAGATTTCCAACCATCAAAATTTATTCGCCAAGTTCCAACAGTGCATACAGTACAAAGTAGAACTATACAGCTTCCAATTTGTTAGATAAAGATAAGAAAAGAATGAAAAACAAGTATCAAATGAACAGCACACTCTAAAGGAAATGTTTATTACCTCGGGCACCAGAAGGGAGCTTGAAACTAACAACAAATTCTGGATAAATGTGGGTGTTCATATTCACATTCCAAATAACATAATGCCTTGGATTCTCAAGATCATCCACTCCACTATCGACATCCTCACTACTGGGATGGAATTGTTGAGTTCCAGGGCGAAGAAGTTCCATATTTCCCATTATTACGCGGCATAGTACCATGTGCCGCACACCATTTTCGTCAATATCACAATAATTTGCACTATGAACAAACCAGGTGAACCTTTTACTTTATCATAGTATTACAGAAACAAAAAGAATAAACTTAAAAAAAAAAAACCCTACTTAGGGTGCATGTGGATGATTATAACATAATAAACGTAAAAAAAGAAATAGACAAAAATTGTTTCACTGGCTACCTCCAACCAGCTTATAAAAACTGCTCAGACCAAAGATGCATTACGCCCATGTAAAAATAAAAACTAACTCATTTTGTATGATTAAGAAATGAGATGAACTGGAAATGAGAAATTATAACAGAAGTTTCATGCAACGTTCTCTTCCAACTCAATGGAGAGAACCCAAAAAATCTTCCGAATGTACCCCATTACCATGGAAGATCAGACTAACAGTATGACCAAACAGACCTTTTCTCATTTAACATAAAACCTCCTTCTGCAAAATCTAAAATAGGAGATTGCTAATGCAACAGAATGTTATGACTTAAGAAGATTGAAAACAGAATCTTACCTAGTGTTAGAACAGTTTGCTGCAGTGAGATGAACACCAATGCCATAAGTTGATGGACTTGTAGAAGCTCCACAGAGCCCATACATCATAATAGTAGGCAGTTGTCCTTTAGAGGAAGCCAGCCAAGCATATCTGACATTTGCATCTCCACGATACTTCTTAGTAATTTCAATTCGCTTCTTGAAAAGCTCCAATTGAGCTTCCCTTGATGGACCAGAGGAGCAGCCATATATATCTACAACATCAAGTCCAACATAAGGACTCATCCCCTGGAGAAACATCTTTCTCACTTCCTCAGTATCCAACTTCTCAGCAGAATCCACGTGTGTTTTTATCTTCTGAATTTCCTCAACAGATTCATCAACTTTTGCCACAGCCTTTTTGTTGCAACTATCCTCCACCTCAACAACAAATTGGTTACCGGCAGGTTTCTGTGCAATTTGAATATGTTTTGCAATAGGACTTGACTCCCCACTACATTCCTTCAAGTTAGATTGATCCGCTATGTTTATGTCAATTTCAAGCTGCAGCTTGATCTCATTGGTATTGTAAATCTCCCTAAGCATGGATTCTTTTCCTTTCCTGTGTTCATGCTTGCTGCATGGAAGTGATTTATTTCCCTCAGTGAAAACAGCAGGAAAAAAGCATTTGTCTGCTTCATCAATCCAAGCAATTGGTTTTCGCAAGCCAGTTTTCAAGTCCAGTTGAAACATATGCAAGAGATCTAGCACACAGTGTTGGTCATCAACATCAAACTCAATAGCTGGCTTCTTTGCATCAAGATCTTTCCTTACCGATGCAATGACATCCTGAGGAAAATTGATCCAGTTACCTTTCTCATGGTACATTATTCTCTGTGGCACGCCACTTTTCTTATAACTCGAATAGCAATGCAGCAATGACCTTTTGGAAGGATAACCACAACGCTGAACACTCCCATTGTGTCCCTCTAATTTCCTTCGCTTGCCGACATGTTGGGATGACAAACTCAACCCAGGCCGCTGCGACCGCGGTGAAATAGTGCTTGTGTCTCTAGAAGGAGATGCTGCATAACATACAGCTTTTCTTTTCATCCCAGGAACCACTCTACGGCTACTATCCAATCCCTTCGCGCTCTCCATTTCCATTTCTATTTCTACCTAGATCAATCCCTATAGATAAGTTTAAAGGTTGAAATATAAATATAAATACAAACTCCCTCCCAGGACTCCCAAAGAAACTGTCCCCAAGGAGAAGATTGGAAAACCCTGTAAAAAGAAAATCAAGTTCAGATTATCAACCATATTCAACATAAAAAATAAAAAATAAAAACAAAATAAATGTATGACAAAGGTTTTTTTTCAATCTGGACTGCACTTTTTTGTGCAGTCCAGGTAATAAAATTACCAAAACACCATTAATGAATAAACATGAAGGACCCTTTTATTAAGGGTATTTCGGTAATTTCAATACCCGGACCACCTAATAAGAAGTGCAGCACAGTCTGCACCAAGAAACACATTTCTGTATATAATACCATACAAATAAACTCATCTAACAAACATCCAGAAAAGAACAGACTCCACTCGAAGGGCGATGCAGTTTAAAAAGAAAGAATAAAACGTGAGGCATATTTACCTAGATCTGCAGTTAGGAAACCCAAAATCACACCCGAGAATGCTAAACAGAGGAAGCATAAATATTTGGCTGCTCCATTGCACTATTGGATGTTTTGCACCTTTTTGAGGGCAAAATAAATAAATATCACAAGAGATTTTCCCTCAAATCCTTGAAATCCATAGATAGGATTACTATAGGCAAAATAAATCAGATTATTAACACATCAACACCTCAAATCTATAGATCAGATTAAATTAAACAACAGAGAAAAACTAATAAACAGAATTAAAAACAAAAAAAAATCGTTGACATCAGGAGATCACATAAATTTCCACTAAACATCTCCCGAATTACTCGAATCCAAAAGAAAAACACAAAAGCCCTTGTTGACCTGCAAAAAATTATATGAATTTAAGGAAAAAGAGCGCTTTGACCTCAGACTAGAAATTAGCGCGTGAATAAAATTAAATCAAAAATCACGAAAAATACACAAAGATAAAAGAGATTTGAATCTGAAACAATATTTTTCAAAATAAACACCACTTTTTTTCCCCAAAAACGACGATTTTGCGCTCAAATCAACAACTGGAAAACATTATTCCTCATAAAACTGATTCAAAACGCCGGAAAGGCCCGAATCCGTCCCGATCTACTCAATTATTGCCCTAAATTAAAATCCAAAAATCCCTAACAAAATTCACTAAAAAAAAACACCGAAACGAAGAATAAGAACATAAATTACCAGCGAACGAGAGAACAACTATGACGATTTGATTTTCATAGACGCGAGGGCTTTCCCTGCGTTGACGGCCAAACCGAGTCGGCGGTTTAGTAACTCATCTGTGAGTCTTCTTCCTTTTGTTTTGTCTATTAATTGCTTGGACGAAAAGCAAGGATCTTTCGCCGAACACGGGGCCCAAGTTGTCAGAAGGGGAACGATAACGTTACGTGGCTGGTAACGCGAAGTGAGTCACCCACTTCCCGGATGCGTTTTGATTAGACGTGTTGACTCTGATATATGCGACTAAAAATTTATGAGAGGCGGTGATTGGTGGATTGGGGAAGGGGTTACATACGCAACTTAAAAAAATCTAAAAAGGTAGTTGCGTGGTGTTTTTGGGAATTTCCAAAAGATGCCATGGAAAAAATATATTTGTAGTGCGTTTTATTCGGTCAAAAATATATCTTTCACTTTAAATTGTATAAAATTATATAATTTTATTATTAAATTTTAAATTAATTTTATAATTTTTTATTAAAAATAAAAAATTTTAAATAAAAGATGAGATATTGTTATTTTTTATTCCGTAACCAAATTTAAAAAAAAGATTAAATTAATTTTTATTTAATAATTTTTATTTTATAAATTAATATAATTTAGATTATTGAGTAACTTTTATTTGATTTTTTAAAATATTATATAATTTAAATAACATCAAACAATATAATATTAATTTTCAAATAAAATTATTTTTTATTATTTTATAATTTAATGTAACCTGTACTGTTAAATAGGTTTCTAATATTTTATTGTTTATTTGGTAACATAACAAATTCAATGTGGGGCCACAAAAAGAAAGGTGATATTTGAGTGACCTTGGGGGAATTTGCCTTATAGAAAAGAATGAGACACTGGTATCTTTAATGTCCCCACCTTTTGAAATGATGGAGCATTATTATATATCTTTCTTTTATCTATATATATATATATATATATATTTTTTTTTATAAGGATAATGATTAAAAAGTTAGTGTGAATTAATTGTTAGTAATTGGTTCTTAAATCGAGTAAACATTTCACCTCCTCAAATAAGGTGTGTGGTCATCAGATCACTTTTTGGTAGAGTTCACGACGATAGTAGAATTTGAAACTCTAACTATCTCACCCAATCACTTGAGGTTTAAGGCTTAAAGCTTGAAGTCGAATAATTGGATCTAAAGGCACGTTCATCTCTATATATATTTGATTGTAATGGATACCAACTCATGGAGATAGTATATATCTTCTTTTCTTTTGTCAGTTTATAGATGTTTATTTATTCCTATCAACTCCAACAAGAAATTTAATAGGAGGAGTTTTAGCGTGATTAGATTAGAGATCATAGCTTTTTATTGCAAGCCCCTTTTCTTTTATCTTGCTACTATTTGTTCATGTAAAATACCATGTTTACTTCCATTCACTAGCTAGGGTAAGAATCTTAATAAGGAAGAATTCTATTTTAGGATTACTATAATATCATGTAAATCAATGTATTTTTATACATATTATTAATTGAATTGCTTAAAAATTTTATTTTCTCATTTGCAATTATTTATGAAAAAAAGCACATATAAATTTTTACTCTTAAAAAAAATTAAAATCTCAATTTTAAATTACATTGTTTTATTTAATTGAAATTTAATTCAAAATTTAAAAATCTATTTTATCAAGCATTGATATTTAAATTTAAAAATTGATTGTATTATAATATAGAATAGTTTTCTAAATTCATGTATCAACACTAATCAATTTATAAATCTATATATTAATATAAAAAATAGTGAATTTTTGAATTTTAAATTGAGATTTCGATTTTCAAATATAAGTTAAAATTTTAATTTTTTTTATAATCAAGATTGATACTCATTAATTTCATTATTTATTTACTTCCAATAAGGAAAAAAATAGAATACATATATAACAAAACAAATTCTAATTGATTGACTACAAGTGTTTTTTTTTTTTTAATATTCGGAGAGAGAGAGAGAGAAAAAAAAATAGAGGGTTTTTGGGCTCTAGGCCCGATTTCTTCATTTTATGATTTTGACAGTGGATTTTTGGGCTCCAGGCCCGTTTTCTTCATCTTTATGATTTTGGCGCAGGGTTTTTTCAGTGGATACTGCACAACAGAACACCTTCGGCTGTAGCCCCTCACTCAGGAGAGCTTCAGGCTCCAAGAAAGAAGACGACATGGGCAAGGATGGCGATCTCTGGGATGATTCTGCTCTTATCATCGCGTTCGATAACGCCATGTCCAAGTACAAGGTGCTCTTTTTAATGCAAATTTTTTTCTATGCTCTATTCTTTAACGGTTTTCCAGAATTTTGTCTAGAGCCGAGAATCAATTTCCTTGGGTTCAATTTATCTTATGCAATTGCTTTTCTTCCCCAGATGATGCATAGCAAGAGAAACACTGAAGCGAATGTCTCTGGTGTTGCTGATCAAACTGGCGATGAAGCTTTGAGGTGAGCACTTAATGCTCCCTTTTTCCTTCTTTCTTGTTTTTTTTTTTTTTTTTCTTTCTGAGTATTTCCTGTTTTTACTTTGATCTCATGTTTCTGGTTCATTCAAACATTTTCTCCGGCTGTGAAATGTCCTGAAATTTTTTGAATTGGGATAATTAGTTTAAAATGCTAACCTTAAATTATTGTAGTTTGGGAGGTAAGTGGTAACAATTATAATTCATTCTTTGGTATCAGCTGCATATGCGATTTTGTCAGTCTCATGTAAGCTGTAGCTGCATACATGCTTATTCAGTGAAATGGGTTTGTATCTAGTGCTTAATCATGGTCAGCTGAATTAATGCTTTTTGTTCTTATTGGAAGCTGGAAATTTGCAAATGATGTAGAGAACATGTCATGAAGTTTAACTTATTTCCACAAGGGGCTTTGAAGTTGTCTCTCAATTTTTAGTTACTCTTGACATGCTCTATTTTGTATAGAAGTTGACTCTAAAGTTAGCACATGTCCTGAAGAATGGCAGTATTGGAACTTAATCAACCTTGAAATTGAGAAGGCTTGTCTAATTCACTGATTTTTTTGGATCCATATATGTTGGTCAAGCTATAACTTCTTTTTTTACTTAAGCTTTCATGCCGTGGAAAATGTGGGTAAAAGTCCTTGTAACCTGGGAGTTAATAGGATGCATAATAATAAAGATTACAATTTTAGTCTTAGCTTTAACAGTTTGTTCTAGCATGGAAGTAATTGTTCCTTTCCTTTTCTAAAATGAATATCTTTTTGTTTTCTATTGTAGCTTCTATATTCATTTTATTTGCTTCTTGAATACATAGGGATGCAGGGAATAACAGTAAAGATGCAACAAATGGTGAAACCCCAATGCATGAGGTTAAGAATCCTATACTAGTTAAAGAAGACTATCATGTAGCTTCGCAGACACCTGAACCTAATGTTAGTGTTGATTCACCAAACAGTATATCTGTGCAAGATGCCCCATATGAGAATAAGGATTATTCATATTCACAAGGTGCAGATGACTATAATAAGTTGCTGACCCAGTATTATGAGCTTGAAGAGAAGCAGCAACAGATTATGCAGCAGCTTCAACAATTTGGTAGTTGGAATTACCAGCCGGCTGTTGAAGGGTCTTGTTCAGCTGCACAATGGGGAAACTCCTGTGGTGCCCAAGAGTATCCAACTCATGCAAATCAAGCTTCAAATATAATTACTGCTTGTCCGTGTTGCCCATATGCATATCAGACTTTGGTGGCTCCATGCTCATCATATTCTGCTTGTTCATTGGGTGGGACGTGTGCCGAAGCTGCTACTCTTCACACTAGGGAAGCAATTACTCATGGGAACTCACTCTCTGTTGCAGACACAGACATTGTTAGAACAGCAATGGGAGCTGTGGAAAGAGCAGTATCCTCCTTGAAGAAAGAAACTTTAGAAAACTCCAATACAAATGAAGGTCAGCATGGCTTCTCCAAACATTTTAGTTTATTTTACTGAGAATCCTTTGACCCAAAAGAGGAAAAAGAAATTCCATTTCAACCTCACTTACCATGAGAGGCTTTATAAGAGTTTTATCAAATTTTGATGCAAAAGAATGGCAGCAACAAGTGGTTAATGGATTACCCTGGACATTGTGTTAAGTGGATGTTGTTGCTCCTAAGTTTGTCCATCAGAGAATTCAATAAAATAAATTAAATTATCATGATTGCAAACTTAACCTGTTAAGAAGATCCCATTCCCGCATGATATTATTATGCACTTCCTAGTTTATGTGTGTAGCAGTGATTCTTATTATCGACAACATTTCCATTGAATGCAGCAAACAAGGAAGAGAAAGATAATGAAGGGAAAGTGGCTCAAAGTGTCAGCTCTCAAACTGATCTTGCAGTCGTTTTAAATGCATGGTATTCTGCAGGCTTCTACACGGGCAAGTAAGTTATTTCTTAATGGCTCTTCCTGCTATGTGACAATAGTGATGTGTGTGTGTCTTCTTCAATCTTCTGTGAGCTCTTGGTGCAATGCATTCCCCTTTCTTTATTTGTGATGTAATTTAGATTGTAATAAGTGTTTTGACTTATGAGCTATCATTTATAAATACTATGATCATCTAAAATCTTGACATTGCAATAAACTCAGCTGGGATGCAGAAGTTCTGAGTCTCTGACATTCTGAATTTGTCATACAGGTATCTTGTGGAGCAATCGGTCGCAAAGAAACATCCTCACTAGGCAGACATCTGCAACATGAAGCAGAGGCAAAATAGTTCTTTTACATGTTCTACCTGATGGTATGACTCATATTGGATCCCTCATCGTCAAGAGGAGAAAAACATCAGCGAATTTTGTGTCCCAACTTTTGTTCACCAGCTTGTTCTTCTCTTCAAAATCTGACCAGCATGAATGGTGATATTCATATTGGATGAACTAGAGTTAGAGGTGTACTTAAATATTTTTCAGTAACTGATTATCCATACGATGCCATTGCAAAGGTTTGGTTTTGGTTATACTTTTTCTTCCTCTATGTTCTTGGACAAAAAAAAAAAGGTGGCATTTAAAAGAATTTGGAGGGATTGAATGAGAAAACGCTGTTGACTCTGGATTTATAGTTGATGCTGATTTTTAGCCAAAATTCCACTGCTACAAGTTTGTAATCCTTGAACAAGTTTTTAGAAAAGTCAGAAATTTGTGCTTGAGTTAGGCTTCACTGAAGGAGCGCAGAGGGTTTTCATACGTTGAGGGCCCACCCATGTTGTGGCCCAACAGTGAAGGGCTTGTGGCATGACATA